TTCAGTCGGTCTCAATATTGTCTCCTTGGAAGTTGTTTTTGTTTTTGTTTTACCAGGTGGCATTTCCTGCTGTGGACATTTATTTGCACTTCTTCTATGAAATCGATGTGTTTGTTTAAAAGGAAAAAAAAACAACAATACTTGTTCTCTATTTATTTTTGTGATTCCCAAACCCCGTTGGTGTACTATGCAATGGGCTTTTGTGGTGTGTCATGACGACAGTTTATGCAGATATTTTAATGAAGTGACCTTTATTTTGAGAATGATTGTGTTGTTGATTATTATATAGTATATACAAATATAATGATGTCAAAAGACACTTGGAAAAGAAATCTATATTTACCAAATGTGTATATTTTAATAGATGCATAATGCTTCATTGTGTGCCTTTATATTTACAGAAAAACAGGGATGGGGTTTAAAAAAAAAAGGCAACGTCTCAGCTGAATTGTCCGTGGGTTTTAAATTGAAATATTAAACCAAAAAAAAAAAAGAGAGAGAGAGAAGAAAACTCTATACTGATATATACAAATAGTTCTTAAAATGACCAATATCAGAAGATCTGGTGTTTTTCAGCACTAAAGTGAATTAAATACAAACAGATTATGCCTTAAGAATCTGGAAATATGTCCTTTGTAGAACAGTAGTTGAAATGGGCTGACTTTGGGGATTTATTTGCATTGTTGGGAAAGGAAAATGGTATTAGATTTCGCAATAAAATTTGGAAAACAACAATAACAAACATGTTTAGGGCATTTCCATCATTCTCTGTCTCCTGATCTTTGTTTCTTCCATCCTGTCACTGTCTGAATTAAATACATTTCATTCCAGCTGTTTTAACTCCTTCCTCAAGCAATTCTGAGTTTGATGAATAACAGAATAATCGAGTGGGAAGGGACCTTGGTGGTCTTCTAGTCCAACCCTCCACTCTTTGGGTAAGCATCCATGCTATTTCCCCATAGAAGCCAAACACATTGACACTGACAGTGTGAGCTTGGTGTCACATCTTCCCCAAAGCCACCAAGCCCCACACTAAGATTCCCCTCTCCTAAGGACCTATATTAGAAGAGCAATCAAGGCTACGGACAGGACATAAGACTCCTTCCTGCCTAGCACCATCAGCTGCTGGCAAGGCAGGCAGGAGGAGGAGGAGGTGGCGATGCAGAAGAACTCCAGGGGCATTTGTAACTCAGTCCCTCCTCCACTTGAAGAGCCAAGGACCTTCCTGCCCACACAATGTCCCTCAGTGATCCTACCAAGCTGCTAAGCCTCTGCATGGCCTTAGGGAACGTCACGTGACCTACTGATAGACACTATTTATAGTCTTGTATGTGCATACAGTACCATCCTTGTTTGGCCAATGTTTGCAACAAAGAAGAATGCTATTATCTTCTCCCCCATACCACCCACCCACAAGGCATCCACCAGAGGCAGTCAGTCCATATGGGATCTTAACACATCAGCCCCAAGAGATGGGGTGAGACCCAGAGAAGAATCCACAGAAATCAGAAGCCTCAGGGCTGTATTTGTACACAGAGATGATCTTTAGCGTGTAATGGTAAGATTTTGTTGTGCATAGGTGTCTACTTAGACAAGACTGCCATGGGTTGTTATACTAATTTTGGGCTCCACAGTCTGATGCCATTGACTTCAGCATGCCTGTAAGAATCTCCTTTGTTCGATGTTTCATAAGGAGACCTTCTTTACTGAATTCTCAGAGAATTTAAGGCAATGTGAAAGATAAATGGTATGCAAAAGAAACAGATGATCCTTTTAGAGAAATACAATTTGCACATACATGTATATGCCCACCTACATGCAAAGATAGAAAATTATTTTAATTGAAAAAATTAAAAGTACCACAAAACTCTTTGTTTTGCATCATTGTTTGTTTTAATAATGTTTTCTATCCACACCCCACACCCCTGCCTGGACATTTGTAGAAAAGAAAAAAACTTCATTAGGAAACATGCTAATTTGCAGAGGAAAAATAAGGAATAAGCCTTCAATACCTTTAAAATATTTATTTAAAAGAAAAACAACCACCTCTTAAGTGTATTTAAAATAAATATATTAAAAAATGAAAAAATACATGTTTTTACGTTTATATGCCACAGGGGGTTCCCTTATTCCATAGATGATCCCCAGAGGTGCTAATCCAGAATCATAACCACCATACTACTGTAGCTCCATACAGTCTAAAATTGTAATTTTTCTTTCTTTCTTTCTTTCTTTCTTTCTTTCTTTCTTTCTTTCTTT